AAAGAAACACTTCTCTAAATCCAGTTTTTTAGCATAAAATGTAGGAAACCATTTCTTAAAGTAGATAATTTAGGTATGATAGATTAGGGTAAACTACCTCCATTTTATGGTAAAACTCAGAAAGGTCTCAGCAGATAAAAAAAACCCAAAGATTTTGTAAATGAAAAAAAAGAATACTCTGTGTTTCTGCTGGATTTGAGTTTAAATAGTGAATATTTTGTATTTGGAGAACAGAACTGCTTGATAAGTTTACTTACAGAAGGCTAAAACTACTTCTAAAAGTACTTATTGGTTAAAGAGCTACACAAGCAAAGGTAACTGAGTGTAACTAGTAATCTGTGACGACGAAGATGACGATGATGGCAGTACTGGTTTATACACTGGAAAAAATCAAAATCTAGATAAGTCCTTTTTTTCTTAAAATAAGTGCATTTGTTCTTGGATTGAGGAGATGAAAGACATTTTGTCAATTGAACAAGACAATTTAAAATTTAAAAAAAGAAAAAACAATTGCATTGTCTCATTTCAAGTACATATTATCTAATTATTTTATTTTAAGAATAAAAATACTGATTCCATTGGCAAATTATCTCATTTACCTGCTCAAATCAAGGTTAAACACACCTAATTTAAGACATTTTTACTTATTTCTCGATCGTTTTTTCCAGTGTATAATACGGTCATTGCTCCTGTTTTGGTGGATTTGTTACAAACAGGAATTATTTCCTTTATCTGTCTCTTTTTCAAACGGCCATGAAATTCACAGACATTTATTATCTTGTCAAAAACTCTTACGTGTAAAAGAAAAAAAAATGCTCATGCAGATGTGTTTTCCTGACAACGTTTCCCTCATTTCAAATGTTTTGTGTCTCTGCAGCGTCTAAAAAGCCTCTTCCTCAGCTACCAGATCCAGAGGTATCGCTTTCTAAATCTTATCTTACATTCTCAGTTTTTCAGAGATATCATAGTGAAAAGAAACATGTTTTTTTTTCCTTTTAATTGACTTCGTAACAGCTATTTATAAACCCGACCGTTAAAAGTCTGGTTCTCACTGATAAGTTGAGCATATTTTGCAATATCTTTTACTCTATAAAGTCATGATTTATATGCATGTTGTTCAGCTAATTACCTTTTATTACCTGCATCATGTGATTTCCAGGCCTTGCCTGTAGGTTCAGAGCAAAAGTTCAGCAGTATAACCTTTAGTAGCAGTCTGTGGTATTTTCTTTTTTTTTTTTGTATAAAACTGTACACTGGAAAAACGATCTAGAAATAAGTAAAATTTCTTAAATTAAGTGTATTTACCCTTAATTTGAGTAGGTAAATGAGATAGTTTGCCAATGGAATGAGTTTTTTTACTCCTAAAATGAGACTATTAGATAACATGCACTTAAAATAAGACAATCCAATTGTCCTATTCAAATTTTCAAATGTAAATTGTCTTGTTCCATTGGCAAACTGTCTCTTTTTTTTGTTAAATCCAAGAACAAATGTACTTATTTTAAGAAAAAATTACTGATCTAGATTTCGTTTTTTTCCAGTGTAGATTCTGTATTCTGTATACATATCTTATTTGTCTGCAACAAATAAGAAATTCCCTGTAAGTTCAAACCTACTTTGTAATGAACTTGATTCTGATTCTAAAAAACTTTTCATCTATAGAATTAAAGTTTTTGCTCGTTTTATAAAAATCCTCCTTTCCTCGAAGCAACTGTGCACTGCAAAAAATTATCTGGAAATAAGTAAAAAAATGTCTTAATTTAAGTGTATTTACCCTTAATTTGAGCAGGTAAATTTAGATAGTTTGCCAATGGAGTATTTTTACTCTTAAAATATTATAATTAGATAATATGCACTTGAAATAAGACATTTTCCCTCTTTTAATCCAAGAATAAATGCACTTATTTTAAGAAAAAAATACTTATCTAGATCTGGATTTCTTCCAGTGTGTGGCTACACTGGAAAAATGATCTAGAAATAAGTTAAAATTTCTTAAATTAAGTTTATTTACCCTTAATTTGAGTAGGTAAATGAGATAGTTTTCCAATGGAATGAGTATTTTACTCTTAAAATAAGATAATTAAATAACATACACTTGAATTAAGACAATGCAATTGTGTTTTCTTATTTTAAATGTATATTGTCTTGTTCCATTGGCAAAATGTCTCTTTTTTCCCCTCAATCCAAGAACAAATTCACTTATTTTAAGAAAAAATGACTTATCTAGATCTGGATTTCTTCCAGTGTGGCTAAGCTTGTCTTATGGTTGGTAGATGGGGCTGAGTGAATTAGGAGATCAGATGGTCATTGCTCTGCAAGACTACATGCCGCTCAGAGACGACGATCTGCCGCTTCAGAAAGATCAGGAGTATCGGCTGATTAACAGCTCCCACTCAGACTGGTGGACCGTGCAGGATGACAGGGGGTACGACTCAATACGTCAGCAAACTTCTGACTTTTTCTTTTATTTTTGTTCATTTTCAACAGCTAAAAATATTTAACTGCTTTTTTATTGTTTTGCTTTCTTGTTCAGAAATGCAGGGTTTGTGCCCAGCATACTTGTAGCGGAGAAGAATGGCAAAAACTTTGAGCGATTCGAGTGAGTTTATATTTCCTATCTATTTGTACATTTCTATAAAAAAAATCCTTGTTTGACCCTTAAATAACCCGTTTTTGCAAACTGTCTAACTTTGCAGATGGTACAACAAACACATTAGTAGATGGGAAGCAGAGGAGTTGTTAATGAAAGAGGTAAAAAGAAAAATAATAATAATAATACAACAAAAATGAGTCACAAATGTTCTGAATAACAACTATTGATGATAATTAACATGTTGCTCTTGCTTGGGGGGGAAAAAGCACTTTTGTTGTGACTGTACCACCTACAGCCATCTTGCTTTTGCAAAATAATGCACCTGCAAACTGACAACATGACAGAGGGAGATGAAAGAAATCTCACAACCACAGAGTTTCCTCCGATGTCAAATTGCCTGCCGCCGATGGCTCTGCTGTTTTCTGCAATATCTGCTTCTGATTGAACGGCTAATGTCATCCTGAGAGGAGCTGGGATGAAATAAACAGAAACGTTAGAAAACTCTCTTCATGTTTTGTTTTCAGGGAAAAGAAGGAGCGTTCATGGTGCGTGACTCAAGACAAGTAGGAGTTTACACCGTATCGGTTTTCACCAAAGCTCCAGGGTAATTTTACATTCCTCTTATTATTATTCAATACTTATTTCCTTAAGTGCCTGATTTCTGGGTTTTCTGTTTTGCTTAAATGTTTCAGGACAATAAACATTTTAGTTTTCTGGTATTTTAGGTCCAGGTAGATTAGACTCTAAAATCGTCTTATTTTAGAGTCAAAGATAAACTTACTGCTAAATTGTGGAGGATTGTTGGTAATTTTTGAAAAGAGCCGCTCTTTCCACTTAAAAAAAAAAAAGAAAATACACATGCACAACCCTGTACCCGCTCCTGAGAGGGAACGTCTATTAGACGCGTGGAAGAGCGTGCACGAGCCCATTTCTCCTCATGCACGCTCTGTTTTAAAGTCATAGGGAAGTAATATTTAAATGTCAAATCATTCTGGCTTAAACATGTATATAAATGTATCATTTGTCGAACTATATTGTCCCAAAATGTAGAAAAACTTGATTTTTTTAAAAGATCCTGTATTAAAATCTGTTTTATTTTCATTATCTTCTGCAGGCCAGTTAGTTCTACATCAGCCTGAACACCTAAATTCAGCCAATTATTAATCAACGGTCATCTGTCAATCACATTTTTTCGGTCATAGCATCTAGATTCATATGTCGCAGCTAATATACGCAACGGTTGAAATCAG